TTAGTGTTACATTAGAGAGTTCAATCTATTTAACGTCTCAAAAAGGTTAATGGGTGACTCGGTCTCAGTCTATAAGTACTCCCATGGGGAACAGAAATTGGATAATAGAATCTTCAGTCTTACATCCCAAAATATAACAAGATCCAGTAGCTGGACATTGAAGCTAGACAAATTTGTACCAGAAATAAGGCAACTTTTTAACAAGGCAGGGAACTTGGAACTGACCATGGGTCTTTCAGGCTTTTCCATCACAGGCAATTTTAAAATAAAGATCAGAGGTTTGTCTAAAAGATCTGTTCTAGCCCACGCAGAAATCAATAAATCAAGGAAAGTCCCATGTCCTGTGTTTTGCAGGAGATCAGACAAGGTTATTAGTCATCCATTCCAGCCACAGTTCCCCAGAGCCGTTGGTCACATGCTCATGGTGTTTTGTACTGAAAGTCTTTCCATGTTTTTGTGTTTTTCAAGGGGAATATCAGTGTTCAGACAATGGGAAATGGGTCAGCAAAGAGATGGGAACAGAGCTTCCAGTGTGTGTCCCAGGTATCACAAAGAGCTGTCTATGTGTGTGTTTTTCCTAAGTATCCCAAAGAAGTGTGTGCATGTGTCCCAAGTATCACAAAGAACTCTGTGTGTGTGTGCATGTGTCCCAAGTATCACAAAGAAGTGTGTGTGTGTGTGTGTGTGTGTGTGTGTGTGTGTGTGTGTGTACCACTTCTCTCAATTGCTGATTCCTTTCCTAGGGTGGGATTTGATTGAGTAATTTGAGTCACATTAGAGTGGGTGTTTCTGAGATTGGTGGGTTCCTGAGAAAGATCAGAGGGGCACCCAAAAGCAGCTGGCCTGTACATAAGCTCTGCTGGTCTTCTAGTGAACCAAAACAGGTCCCATCACAGATAGTATTTGACCTTGCTGCCTCAGTTTTCCTGATCTTGGCTATGCTGGTGCTCAAGTGTTAGTTGTTCAAACAAATTAAAATTTTCCACTTCTAGCAGGTAAACAAAAGGTTCAACCTCCCCAGCTGTCCAGCAAGCTCATGCTAGTTCTTCCCCAGCTTAGTCAGATGCCTCCTCCCCAGGCCACAAACCCTTTCCACACTCTCTGGGCTGCAGCTTCTCCCTTCTGGCCTCAGCAGCTTATTTAGTGTTGTTGGAGCAGGGCAATAGAGGGGGATTCTGCCCACCTTTGCTGGAAAGACCAGCCTAGACCCTGAAGAAATGGTTAAGTGTTAACTCTCTGCAACCCTCTCCCATGCTCTCCTGGCCAGGCTACCTTGGTTATCCTCTCTCAGGCCTCCCCTTTCCCCTCAAGTGGGAGTTGCTGCTGTAGTTAGCTCCAGCCAGGCCTTTCTCTCTAGCTCAGGGGTGGGCAAAAGGGCCCCCATGGGCCAGATCTGCCTGCTAAGTGGGTGGAGCCGACCTAAGGATGCCCTGCTGCTCTTCCGCACCCAGGCCAATTAGTGCCTAGGGGCAGGGGAGCGTGAGAAGCCTCCTCCCTCCCTGCGAGGAGCACATGGTGCTGTGAAGTGCTTGCAGGGCTAGCGGGGGGGGGGGGGGGAAAGGGGGGGCGGTCTTCCCAGGAATGGCAGGGGGGGGGGGGGGGGGGGGGGGGGGGGGGAGAAAAGCGGAGGAGGCTTTGTGCGCTCTCCCACCCCCAGGCCAATCAGTGTCTGGGGGCAGGGGAGCTGCGTGAAGCTTCCTTTGTCCTGCCCTGGCCCTGCGAGGAGCCCATGGCACTTCAAAGTGCCCCATGCTCCTGGCAGGATGGGAGGAGGCTTCACGTGCTCTCCCCACCCCCACTCCAAGCCCTGATTGGCCTGGGGAGGGGGAACGGCCAAGCTTCTTCCAGGGTATGGGTGCCTAGTGGGAAGGGGGAGTAAAGGATTCCCCCACCCCCAGACCAATCATGGCCCCACCCCTTCCCGTTTAGGCCCTGTCCCTTCCGGGGTGGCCCAGGGCTATTTCAAAAATTCTTGAGACCTTCTTCCCCAGGGCTCTTGCAGGTGGGTCTCTCACCAGTGACTCATTCCGCAGGCTCCCTCTGATAGGATTTACATACCAAGGACAAAAGATCAAAGTAAATGTGTAAGATCAGTGTATATTTCAGACTGACTTAGTCTTTATTAATATTTTCTAGAAAATGTAGAAAAACATGAAAATATTTGGAATACTAGAAGACTTATCCTGTGTTTCCCGGGTCCTTCAGGGCAGGGAGATGGCAAAGTGGGGCTGAAGGAGTCAGGGCAGTGCCTTTGGGATTCTATTCTCCCCCAGCCTCACCTCAGCTGCCAGGGGCCATCACTTCCCCCGAGACCCTCTGGCCGGCAGGGCTTCTCTTTCCCCTCAGTTCCCCTGCCAGCAGGAGCCCTTTCTGTCCCCCTATTCCTTATATTTTCTTTCCTGTAAACTCTGGATGCAAATGATTTGATACAGTGCTGCCATGGACAAGGGTTATGTTGAATCAAGGTGGTGTCAAGGAGGCAGGTGAGAGGGGACTATGGGGTTGTCAGTGATGTACAGACGGCATCACTCAGCAAGTGGTAATTCTCCTATTGTGTCTCTTCCTTTCTCTTTTCCTTCTAGTCTGTGGGTTCCCCAGTACACCCATCCAGGATCAACAGAGGATTTTTGGGGGCACTCGTGCTAAGACAGGCAACTTCCCCTGGCAGGTCTTATTCCCAAACCCCCGGGGAGGTGGGGTACTCATTTCTGAGCGGTGGGTGCTGACTACGGCGCAGGTGCTGGATGACTCAAGAGGCAAGTCCACAATGTACGCTGGCGCGATCAACATCCGCCATCAATCCCAGGATGAGGAGGCCGTTCAGCTGGAGCAAGACAAAGTGTTCATTCACCCCGGCTGGACAAAGGTGGCAGACCCAAACACTCGGACGAATTTTGATAACGACATTGCCCTGGTGAGGCTGATGGAACCGGTGAAGATGGGCCCCAGGATCTCACCACTTTGCCTCCCTGGTGCCTCCCCTGAGTATGAGCTGACAGACGGCAGAGTGGGCTACATATCCGGCTGGGGCCGCACAGAGAAGCGAGACAGAGTCCAGCATCTCATGAAGGCCCAGATCCCCGTGGTCACCATGGAAAAATGCCGCAATGTGAAGCCGGAATCACTTGCTGATGCCACCACTTTCCACTTCACTGAGAACATGATCTGTGCAGGAGGTGGCAGGAAGGACAGCTGTGCCGGAGACAGTGGCGGAGCCTTTGCCATCACAGATCCCCACAATGACAGTCAGTACTATGTAGGGGGGCTAGTCTCCTGGGGACCACAGTGTGGCACATACGGCCTTTACACCAGAGTGGGGCGCTACCGAGATTGGATCTTGGAGACCATGCGCCAATATGGGGAGGCCAAGGAGTCGCAGGAATAGACCCTTCCCACGCTAGGACCCTGCCATCTCACCGGGCACCAGGTGCTGAGGTCAGATGTCCCAGCAGATCGGCTGACCTTTCATCCCATCTGCTCTGTGCACCAGCCCAGCCCATTGTGGCTGTGCCAGAGTGGGGAGTCATGAGCAATGGGGTCTCTGTTCCACGGGAACTATGTCAGGGAAAAACTTCTCTCTTCCCTCCTCCTCTGGCATTGCCTGAACAGGAGCAGAGAGCATTCTGGGTAAAGAGACCCCTCCTCCCCCCCCCACACCTTTTCCCAGAACATTCTTTGCTCCGGGTCCTCAGTTTTCAGAGGGAGCTAGTCATGCCCCATCCACATGAAAGCTCTGCTGTGGAAACCCATCAATGGGGGCAATAGGGGGAAATAGCTGGTCCCCAAGGAGTAGGGTCAGAGCCTGGCCAGCCAACAGAAGAAGGGCGGTTCCTTCTCCTCAGTGGAACAACAGAGGGCCACTGACTTCTGACTCCGGGCAGTTGGGGTAAATGGCTGGTCCCTGAGGACTAGGGTCAGAGCCTGGGCTGCTGCTCCTCCTCAGTGGGACAACAGAGGGCCACTGACTTCTGACTCATGTATTCTCATGTATTCTCCGTTCCACTCAATATCTAACTGCATTAAAGGATCACCAAGTCACCTCCCTGTGTGTGCTGACTCCTTTCTTCTCAGACTAGACCTAGATTCCCAATTCAGGTGACCCATCTCCCCCTCACTCCCATTCTAATAGCACTAGGCCATTAAAAGCTGTGATACAATGTACATAAAAATGTATTGCTGCGTATGGGATTGTTATATAAGCCAGAGCTATACTGGCTGGATCCTCACTGGCAGCTGGTGTCTATCTGAAGGGGCTGTTTCACAGATTGAGGTCTAGGAGCCCAGTTGTGGGGAGTGAGTCTTCCCACATCCTTCCAAAGGATGTTATGGTATCCTCTTGCACTGAGAATACCTATCCAGGGGAGGGAACGCCAGTTGCTAGGAAGAGGCAGGTGTTCATAGTGGATGATTTGATCATTAGAAACATAGATAGTTGGGTTTGTGATGTCTGGGAGAACCGTATGGCGACTTGCCAGCCTGGTGCAAAGGTTGGGGATCTCTTGAGGCATCTAGATAAACTTATGTGTAGTGCTGGGGAGGAGCTGGTAGCCGTGGTACATGTAGGTACCTATGACATTGGGAAGGGCAGGAGAGACGTTCTAGAGGCCAAATTTAGGCTGATAGGAAGGAGACTGAAATCCAGGATCTCTATGGTGGCATTCTCAGAAATGCTTCCAGTTCCACATGCAGGGCCAGCTAGGCAGGCAGAGCTTCAGAGTCTCAATGCGTGGATGAGACGATGGTGTAAGGAGGAGGGCTTAGATTTATTAGGAACTGGGGACACTTCTGGGAGAGGGGGAGCCTATACAGGAAGGATGGGCTCCACCTAAACCAAGGTGGATCCAGACTGCTGGCACTAAACATTAAAAAGGTCGTAGAGCAGTTTTTAAACTAAGAGATGGGGGGGAAAGCCGATTGGTGCGGAGGAGCACGTGGAGTGGACGGAGACTTCTTTTAGAGGAGAGTCTATTGTTAGAGATTCTCTGTGTTTTAGTCAGAAAGAGAGGAAGGCAGATGATAAAGAAACAATCACATATACAAGAACCTAATATATCATGGAAGGGCAAACAAATAAACAGTGGTAATTTTTTAAAGTGCTTCTATACAAATGCTAGAAGTCTAACTAATAAGATGGGTAAACTAGAGTACCTCGTATTAACTAGAGTACCTGGCATTTAATTTCAAAAAGGGGAATTATGCAAAAATAAGGAGGTTAATTAAACAGAAATTAAAAGGTACAGTGACTAGAGTAAAATCTCTGCAAGATGCATGGAAACTTTTCAAAGACACCATAATAGAGGCCCAACTTAAATGTATAGCCCAGATTTTAAAACATAGTAAGAGACCTAAAAAAGAGCCACCATGGCTTAATAATCATGTAAAAGAAGTGGTGAGAGATAAAAAGGCATAGGGTAGCCACCGTATGAGTCTACCTTGAAGACTAACAAATATCCCTGTTTTACTGATGGGGAAATTGAGGCACAAAGATGGTGCGCTTCAGGAAATTTGTGAGAGAGGTGAGAACTAAACCTGGTCACTAGTATCCCAAACCAGTTACAAAAGTCTTAAGACCATCACTCTTATTTTTCTCATTAATTCGATAAACTGAAAATTATAATAAGTTTGAGGTGGTATAACATTTGCTATTTACATAATTTTATCATGTCTCCCTTGAGTCATTTCTCTTTTAAGGTAAGCAATCCCAGTCTTTTCAATCTCTGTTCAGGTGAGAAAAACAACAAGGAGTCCTGAGGCACCTTAGAGATAAGCTTTCATGGTTCAAAATGGGCTTTTGCTCATGAAAGCATATGCCCAGATAAATCTGTTATTCTTCAAGGTAGACTCATATGGTAGATACCCCTACTTGTTCACGTGAGAGTTTTTCCATGCATTGGCTCATTCATAACTTACTTCTACTGTACATAATGGTTCATAGAGCTCCTTTTAGATTAGTCACAACAAATGGGGCCTGATGGCATGCTCACAGAAATCTGTGGAGATACCCCAATTTTCATTGGATCAGTGCTTGTCCCCTACTGAATATCAAAAGTTGCATTGGATAGTGGGTTTGTTTGTGCATTCACTTGAATATATGATTAATTTAAATGTTGTTTGTGGATTAAGAATCATTGTTCTTTCAATTAATAGGAGGATATACTGTTTATTAATGGAATGAGTCTAAGAAGATAAGAACAGCCATACTGGGTCGGCCCAAAGGTCCATCTAGCCCAGTAACTTGTCTTCTGAAAGTGGCAAATGCCAGGTGCCCCAGGCGAAATGAACAACATAAGATTATTTAAATAGGGTATTAAGTGACGCACATTGCTACATGTTAAAGCAAAACTGTTCCATTAAGAACAGCCCAGTGGTTGTACAGTTGGTCTAGATCCTTGCATTCTGTGTGCTTGATTCATTCTCTTACGGTATGTCTACACTAGCTCGTTAATTCGAGCTAGGTAGGCAAATCAGGCAACCGGAGTTGCAAATGAAGCCCGGGATTTAAATATCCTGAGCTTTATTTGCATCTTCCCATCCGGGCGCCATTTTTAAATCCCCCTTAGTTTGAACGAACTGCCCGCGGCTACACGCGGCAATTTAAAGTTAATCTGAACTAAGTCCTTAGTTTGGATTAACTGTTATTCCTCGTGAAATGAGGTGTAACCGTTAACTCGAACTAAGGACTTAGTTCGAGTTAACGTTTGACTGCTGTATGAAGCCGCAGGCAGTTAGTTTGGACTAAGGGGATTTTAAAATGGCGCCCGGACGGGAAAATGCAAATAAAGCCCGGGATATTTAAATCCCAGGCTTCATTTGCAACTTCGAATGCCTACATTAGCCAACCTAGTTCGAACTAGGGGGCTAGTGTAGACATACCTTTAGTGAATGACTCTGTATATCTTGTGGGTTAATACAGCAGAATGTTGGACACGTCATAGAGTAACAGTTGTGTACCTTTGTCAACCCACTGGATTCTACTCATTCCCATTCAATAAGATGATAAGTTTCCTTAGGACAATAGAACCAAAGCTTTTACAAATTAATCCAACCAAGAACTGGAATAGTGATGCCATAACCTCTTAATCTCAACATGCATAAACAGTAGGATATTTCCCACATTTTTACTTTCAAGTACATCTGACGCTAAGTTATATCTATGCTAACCCAAAAGCACTTTCACGATGGAATTTAATTTTATGAGAATAACATTTTTGCCCAGCCTCTTTCAAAGAGTGCTTCATTTTAGGGATACTACAAAGACAAGTTGTATATATTGGAGCAATTAAGCCTCCATAGATATTATACTGCAATATACACTAATGTATTTTGGGTGGTGCTTCTAGGCCAGGGGAATATTAAATTCATAGAAAATAAATACCAGATCAATCCACAGTGCCACGGACTTTGTTTCATGATGATTGATAACGTGGAACCCAGCACTGAGACATCCATTGCAGACAACAATATTACTTAGAAGTTTTAGGATAGGTTTTGTACTTACAGTATGGAATTGTTGTTAAGTTTATGTTCCTGTTTAAGATGTTTGTAGTGTCTCATAAGCAATTATTAAAATATAGCAGTTTGTTCCCTTCATTTTTGCCATATTCAGTGACAAAGTGTGACCTGTTGTGTTTAATTGGATGGAATAAATATAACCCAGTTATTGTCTACATAAAACAGTGTTAAACAAGGTTCAGGGTTTGGCATTTAACAACCTCAGCCTATTTAGTAACCTAGCAAATACACCATTAAAACCCCTTTCCACCCTTTTATTAAAGATGCAGGAAAGCATTTGCAAAGTAAAGTGTTAAATATGCTTTCATTTTAACAACATCCCTTGTTCAAATTCCCTTTGTTTGGCAGTCTCTTAGGCTATGTCTACACAGTAGCATTATTTCAGAATAACATCAAAGCGGCGAGGAGTCCTGTGGCACCTTAGGGTATGTCTACACTACAGAGTTAGTTCGAACTAACTTAGTTCGAATTAGTTAATTCGAACTAAGCTAATTCGAACTAACGTGTCTAGAACTAAAAACTAGTTCGAATTAGCGTTTTGCTAATTCGAACTAGCAAGTCCACATTGAGTGGACCCTGAACAGGGCTTAAGGATGGCCGGAAGCAGTGCCGGCAGGGCATCAGAGGAGGACTTAGAGCGTGGAGATGCTGTCTCAGGCTAGCCGAGGGCTGTGCTTAAAGGGTCTCGACCCCCACCCTGGACAGACAGTTCTCAGGGGTGCCCCGCTTGAAAACCAGTCCTGGCTTGGAGTGCCCGGAGTGCCCACACTGGGCACATCACAGCACTCGGCCATTAGCCCGGCTGCACTTGCCGCAGGCTGCCATCTGGGGAGAGGGGGCAATTGGGGGGCTGCAGGAGAGCTTCCACCCCCAGAAGCCCACAGAGCCAGCCCAGTCCTCCCCATCGGGGGCTCGTGTCCCATTCCTCCCTCACCTCCTTCCACTTACCCTTCCCTAGCCCCCCTTCTTATTGATGTACAAAATAAAGATAATGTTTCTTCCAACATTGACTCTGTCTTTATTGAACAAAACTGGGGGAGACTGGGAAAAGGAGGTGGGAGAGGGGATGAGAGAGGGGAGGGCAACTAACATGATCAGGGGTTGGGAACAGGTCCCAGATGAAGAGAGGCTACAGAGACTGGGACTGTGCAGCTTAGAAAAGAGGAGATGGAGCGGGGACAGGATAGAGGTCTCTAAAAGCAGGGGTTGGGTGGAGAGGGTGCATTCAGAAAAGTTCTTCATGAGTTCCCAAAAAGAAGGACTAGAGGACACCAAAGGAAAGGAATGGGTAGCAGGCTTGAAACTAGTAAGAGAAAGTTGTTGTTCTTCACAAAGCAAATAGTTAACCTGCGG